AACTTCAGGTATGATAAGTCTAGCAAATGCTGTGGATTTTGCGACTTTCCACTGCAAATAAAACTAAGAAACGAGTCTCTCTGTCTGAGATAAGAGTAAAACGCCCATGCGTAACTTTCACCGTTCATTTTTGCTAGACGAAAATCATCATATCAGTTTTAAGGATCAAGTCGGTTATAGCAAAGTTCATAAGGGGGAAAACTGGTTGTCATAGCGGGTAATCTTACAATCTGACTAATTTACCTCATAGGCGAGAATATTTCGCAGAAACTCTTAGCTTGTTGATAACCATACATGAATTCAACATGAACGCGAATACATGAATTTAACATTTGTCTGTGAAGTTGCAGAAATATGCCGTGACGTTATAAGGGTCAACCATGTTCTCGGTTCATACAAATTCACACCATTATGTTTGCAAATAGTGATGTTTGATTTTTAACATGACTGGTTATGTTATTCTCATATTCTTAAGATAACAAACTTGATCATTGTAACTTAGAAGAGTTCAGAGAAAGCGTTAGTTTTGTAACACGCTCGTGGAAATAATAACGCTTGAAACTGTTTTCTGATACTGATTTCAAGCATAATAGTGGCTTTAAGATTTGTTTTCTTTTTGTTGAGATCTGATGAGGTGTAATGAAACATTTGTTTCATCCATCTAATCAGGGAAAAGCGTTGATTTAAGATTCTGTTTATCACATGAACTGGAACATTATTTATGTTGCGACATTCTCACTACTTATATCTTTCGTTAACGACGTCAATAGGTATGTGATGTTATGAAGTCACATAAATACAATTGGAACGTTCGGCTCCATTATCCCGCCAGGTGTAGAATACTTGTGGAGCGTATCAATTAGATGTCATTGTACTCAAAACAAGGTGGACAAATTATTACTTTTTGTTGATAACGTACTAGAATGGAAGTATATCGCTGTAACTGTGGTGTGTTGGTGTTGTATAGAAAAACAACCTTAAAGAAACGGGACATGGCCCGATTAGTTAAAAACCGTTCTTACAGAAGTGGAGGAGGAGCTGGGAAACAACAAACAGCACAAGAAGAAAAACTGTCCAAAGTTATGGTTATCTCTCTGGAATTGGATGGAACAGAATTTAGTATGTAACAACAATCAAATTAATTGATGTCCTTATATAGGAAGTGCATTTGCAATCATGTTCGCAGTTAAAATGTACATTAAACGATAATTAACTATTGTGGTTGAGGATGACATTGACACAATTAAACACATAACAATCGTACAAAACACTGTCAAAATGCCTAGAAGTCACCTCTAAGATATTCATTACTATTTTCCTAGAAATGAAAATACCGACGATTGTATTGTGATTGAGGGTGACTTTGTCACAATCAAACACGTTGCCGAAGCCGTGGAGAAAAGCATCCCAGTATTGTTGGTGTGTGACTCTGGTACGGCCGCAGACCTCAATGGATACTGTTTGGAGTAAGAATGTTGACCAGTTCTAAATATACATGCATATGTTGCAGTATTCATTATTAAGTTTCAGATGTTCTTACGCGTTCAGTTATCGGCATGTAGGTTGAAAAGGTTTTGACTTATTTGAATGTGGATAGTGGAAAACTTTGATAACATTATTTTTATTCTTCACAATGCTTTTAACGTTATAACAGTACGCTACAACAGATTAGTTAAAAAATTATCAGATTTACGAAATTTACTCCCCATCTCAATTTTGATATTTCTTCCAATCACTTTTGATTTTCCTTAGCCACCTCGTAGGTTTAAAATATTGGCACTTAGCATCACTGACGTGTCCTTAAAGGATAAAACATCTTTAAAATGTATTTTACCTCATTGTCTCGCTCTAATGTATTCTATCTATACTTGTATTAAAAAAATGCTATGTGGTTTTTTTTAGTAAACGACGATAAAAGACTGTTTGGGATTTTTTTCTTTTGTCTTTGTTTTGGCATTATAGAGAGGAAGATGTTTTGGATACATACAATTTATAGTTAATAACCCTGATTTTATTAGTTATATGTCTATTTATTTGTGCTAATCTATTTGACTGATCCATTTGCTTACAAGTGGAGTACAGGTATTATGTTTTGATTTTCAATAGTATTTTTCAAATATTGCACGCTTTGAAGTTATTACTATTATTTGAGCGAAGCAAAACTTGGATGAATGATTTAAATGAAATTTACATGCATATGAATGTACAAAGAACACAAATTGAATGGCATATTTATGTCATTCATTTATATATTTCTAAGTTACAACGGGTGACCTAGAGATATTTCAGTTGTATTCAATAACTGACTGCAACCAGTTGTCTAAAGAGGAAATACTGATAACACACGTCAAAGCGACGTACCTTTTCCTGTCTATTTTCTCCATGTGATTTATTTTAGCAGAATTCCTAAGAATTGTGTTTTAAAGTTTCTTTATTTATTTATTTGAATGACTATAGTCTAACACCGACATTACTAGCAAGATTTCATGCTGGAAAATAGATTAATTTGTAACATAATGAAGATAAAACAATCGGGAATCGGCCCCAATCATATCGTCTTTACTGGTTCTATGCAAGTTTGATCGTTTATCTTATTAGAAACCTACCGATAAAATCATGGCTGCATTGGTTTTCCTCTCCGCCCGTCCCTACCCCTGTGAAAGTTTGTCAGCACTCTATCGGACCAATCCCTTGCGGGATTTTCGTTTAAGTTTTAAGTATATAAATATCTTTATCTGTCTATGGGTTTCAGGGTTTTCAGGTCAAGGTCACTTACTATTTCAAGAAAATCGTTGTCAGCGCTCTAGTGGCTTCGTTCCTTCAGAGATTCTCATCTCACTTCACACACTTCTTAAGCAACAAATTACCTTGGAGAACTTCCATTTTCCGGGTTTTCCGGTCAAGGTCACAGTTGCCAATTTTAGGAAACCTTTGTCAGCGCTCTAAAGGCTTCATTCCCGACCAGTCTGATTATTAGTTCTGCTTGTTTATTTCTTGTTTTGACGTCATCATAATAGCTAATATCCAAGGATGATCGCGCATATCAGTGCTTCATTTTTAGTTTTATCAGACTGAAATGGAATAAATTGAACTCGGTTATCATCAATTAGAATACAAGTTTTGTATATTTGCAATGTTTTGGTGAGGTTAACGTGATGGTTTGCAGGTTTGTTTCATGGGGAAAAGAACCAACGATAGTAACGAAAATAGGGCCATTTTGATATTCACTGAAATCGCATTTCATATATACGGGTATATTGTCACATTTAACTGTCACGTGCGCTGGGAAATGGAAATGGATGAGTCTGGACAAAAGTATCAATTCGTGTTGTTTTCATCATGTCCAACATAAAAATCTTCACAGACAAAACAAACATATATACTTTCAAAATCTTCCACACCGACCTCATCAGGGGGTGGACGCGAAAGATACATCACTACCGTATTGTCAACTTACCAGGATTCTACGTGGAGGCATTATCATCGTAGGGGCAGCGCAAACAGTGCTGGACCTCTTGAGCTGATCTCCAACACTAGAATGAGTAGATTGAGATATGTATATATATACATATATATGATATAAAGTCAGAGGAGAAGTGACGTAAACAAATGTAGGAATGCAATTAGCATGCAATGTGGGTGCAGGTGTTAAAGTGCCGAGTTGTGCTTAACTGTAGACATGTACACAGTCACCCTATCAGCACGTTAACATCACATATACGTACAGAATATATATATATAAGCAGATATACTTGATATACATATATTTCATTTTTGCCAGTGAAATATAGAGAAATATCTCATAAATAAAAGGGAGATCACAAAACATCTTATAAAATTGACAAATCTTATCAGAGATCAAATCCAATCCCAAACCAAACGTCTTGTATGCGAACTAACTAGTTAAACATTTCAAGGGGATCCGTGTCACCAACAGCCATAGTTTGCCATATTTCCAGTCGCGTGGTAACTTGTCAAAGGGCAAACTCGCGCTGAACGTTTTACAACAAATTTTGTCTATCATTGACGTGTATGTGAATGTGAATATAAAACTAAATTACGTTTCTTGTAACGGGCTGCGAGGAGATAATGAGTGATTAGTGTTCACAAAATGTCAGCTTCCTCGTTTTATATATGTTCTAAATGTGCTAGTAATCTGACTATTTTGCTTTTGAAAATGTATTAAATATAATATTGCTGCTCGCGCTGCGCATGCCTGAAAAATACTAAAATATAAGATACATTTGTGAAATATGTTTGTTACTACTGAAGACGCTATCAAATATCCTCTATTTAGAAAAATAGAAAAAAAAAATGGAAAACACGACAGGTTGTAAAACATAAGCACCTTTAGTTCTCATCCAGATAAGAATTGGGACGTCACGACTGAAATGTTATTCATGACGCCACAGTTCGTATCTATGTAAAACATCTGAAAACGAAATGAAAGTGCTTAGGTTTTAGTTTCTACAACTTGTCGTGTTTTCCAATATTTTAACTTTATTTCTATATTTGCTGGGCTCAGAGAATTCACCACAGTTTAAATTAAATATATATATGAAGAGAGAGAGAGAGAGAGAGAGAGAGAGAGAGAGAGAGAGAGAGAGAGAGGTTACAAACCAGATAGTGTAGGAATACAGGTACATATGTGTAGGTAGCTCAATGGGCAAGTCACCTGATCATAAATCATATAAAATACACAGGGTAACAAGGTGTCAGTTAAAATCTGTCCAGTCTGATGGTAATCGAAATTTTAAGGGAAGTTAAAGGCGGTTTAATTTCCTTGAGTTATGAGTGTGAAACTAACATATACTTAAAGAGTTATTACTTCTTCCTGTACGAAAGTTATTCACGTGCTGATCACATGGCCATTCCTTTGTTTAAATTGATCAGGAAATTTAACATTTTTCTTGCACACATAAGAGGTGTACACCATCGAAGCGACCAGGTCTGATGTTTAAAGACTGCCAGATTTGTCTATATCAAATTGTACGTGTATGTTACCAAATCCTACCAATGTCTTCATTAACCAGTAGTGCTGTACTAATATGTACTCTGTGTGTTTTACTATGTTTGGGTTCGGATGATGTCAGTCAGGCTACGCTACAAGGGCTGGAACGACACAAGATGGTTTTTCACCCCAATGTCAATGAATTTCATCAAAAAAAGTGCGAAGACTGGAACGGCAACTATGAACCAGAATCTGACAATACGACACAGCAATGCCACATGGATATTGCTGAAAATGAAACAATAGAGACAATCGTGTATGACATTATCAACAACGGATATAACTTTGTTCATTTATATTTACAATTCTTCGGTAATGGGAACGCTACCTACACGAAGTGTGTTATAGAGCCCCAACAGTGGGTGTGGACGTTTGGTGGATCTCAGAGAGCTTTACAGTACCTCAAATGGCCGCCGGAGTATATTGTCTGGTCAATGGGATTACTGGCTACCTATTCCCAACTAAATCCTTATACTGTAAATATCAATGTTCACGAGGACTGTCCCATCTTTGTTGGAAGGAAAAACACAACAGGACAAATAGGTTTGACACTGTCGATGCTTTCTAAAGAATTAAGTAAACAAGGAGGAATGATGTACGACTCCAGTTATTTTTGTTTCAAAACAAGGACTTACATAGAAAATGAGGCAATATACAAATTGTGTTTGAATGTAATATGCCCTTTGGAAGCGACAGGTTACATTTGCTGTCATATGGAGTGGAACTATAATCGTTCAGTATTAGTTTGTCCTTCGGAACCATTCATGTATGACGCGGTCTGGTGGATTGTTCCGTTTGTTGTAGGAAGCGTTCTTTTTGCCTATTTCCCTGTTGTCTTGCTCCTTTGTGCTGCAGAAGTCCGTGACAATTCAGTAACAGATGAAAAACCACGCAAGTCAACCTCTATCGTAGACGAAACTACACCGCTCATAAACACACAGATGGACACAGACAGTGATTGGTTATATACGAGTACAATTACGGTCTGGACAATCCTCGCCTACCAAGTGGTCATTCTCGGTCGCCGTTTTCCGACCGGTTTATCAAGAACTTTCCGATTTCTCTTTGTAATTTTCAGTTTATCTTTCATTGTGATCAAAGTAGTAGTACATTATCGTTATCAGAATGATTTCGTTGTGGCGAGTGTCGCGCAAGGGACTCCTATGGACTTTCTGTCAGTTTTGGCCGGATATGAAGAAAGTAAGCAAAACTTCCTTCGAAGCATCGGCGGTCCATACGAAGCTTGTGTATTGTACTTGATAGGAATGATAATCTTTATGGTTATCCCTAGAGATTTATCGAAACTGATGGAGACAAGTATTCCTTACAGCCAAACTGGAGGAATGTCTCCTCTTATAATACCAAAACATATTCAGGACTGTTTAGGTTCTGTGAATATACACGAGACAGTTACAGGTTATAGACTTGTGTACAGAACAATGACATCAAATTTCTTCATGTTATTGAATTCTGACTTCTGGGCGTACACCTATCGCATTCAGAAACAGCGGTTCTGTGACCTACCTGTACATCGCATTATAGCAGTTCTCACATTCCCTCTGTACTGTGCATTCTGTTTATGCGAGATCTGTGCATGCATAATATATTTTGGATTGCCTATAATATTTTTCATTGCCGTGTTTCTCAATTCTTACATTTCTGCGCTATGGTGCATGCTTAAAACTACCAGGCTTTCCTTTCGGATTCCATTACTGATGATTATAATGCCAATGATGTTGGGAATGATGACGTATATTATATACATGTTCAGTATCATCTTCGTTGGAAGTTTTATCTTCCTGTCTCGTGTTGCTATTTTTACCTACACAGGACTATTTGCCTTCCCGAACTATTCGTATGGATATATCATCTTCTCCGTTACCATCATGCTGTACATACGAGATGTAATCAACCATGTCCGTGACGTCTACCGTGAACTCTTTCTGGAACTCGTAGATCTGTGCAGTGTATATCAGACGAACAACGCGAACTGTCCAGTCATGGTGTTCCGGGTTGTCGACAGAGTTAAATACATCCCAGGAAATCTGTTCTTCAAGGTGGTGAAGCGATATCAACCTACTAGGTTACAAATAATCAAGGCGTTTATCAAGATTATGATAGTTGTTTTTGTATTATTCATTTCTGTCTACCTGATAACTAATTTTCAGAGATTTAAACAACTCTCTATTCTTACACAGTCCGTCACTACGCTGTTCGTTTGTCTGTTACCAAAGCTGTTGGAGGGAACGTGTTCACTTAATGACACTGGATTCAGCAAGCAACTGAGAACTGAAGTGATGAAATGTATCGATGAATATTGTTCGAAAACAGGTGACTCTGTTTCTGATGGCCCCATGTAAAACTTTCTAAAGTAAGCAAAGGAAGTCATATGAATACTGTTACTCATAAATGCCTGGCCCAAGCTGTTCAAAGGCTAGTTAGACATTACCAATGGTTAACGAAAATATTCTTAGATATAAAACAAAATATGAAACATAATTTATAATTTCACGGGCTGCAGATTTGTTGAGACAGGTCAGTTTGAATATTTTAATGTTTAATGTTTTAAACCCTTTTTTTTCCCAGTCTCATTTCTTTTTGTTTTTTGTTTTTTTTTTTACAAACAAATGGCTTACTTAAACTAGCTTTTGAAGAATCGGGGCCAGTACGCTAAGTAATTTGTTTAATGTAACAGTTTTAATATCAATTTCATTATCTAGATGTATGTCGTTAAGGACGTTGTCTTTAACAAACATATATAATCTGCATGCAATGTGTTAATTGTAATGATCTGTGGCACTGTCCGTATATAGATATATTTCTGATTCGTTAACAACTAACAACTGTGAAATGTATTACAATTTGTTAAGATATTTTAACTTTTGTTCCTGCTGATTTCAAATTCCCAAGCCTGATTTTATAGATATTCACAAACCAGCCTATCAGCATTACCGAATAGTCTTAGCATGATGAACAAACCGCACGATACTTCAAAATTAATTCATTATTTAACATACTGCTATATTTGTATTGAAATTCCATTTTTATTTGTGTTTTTGGTATGTACATAGACACCTGTAATCGACAATGAGCGTTATCATACTACTAAAACAATCACTGCTTGTTAATTGTACATCCACTACATGTGATTATATTGAGTCATTATGTTGAAAACATTGCTTGATTTATGCTTACAAATGTCTCCGATAAGGTTGACCTGAACAATGTATTGATTGTTTATTAGATAATGAGGACACTATGGGAAAATACATAATACAATTAATATATTGGTATAAAACTCTTTCTTATGTCTGCACAGTATTGCTAAAAAGGGACTTTTTTGTCTATACATACTTTTAAATAAAACTTATTCGGTAGAAATGAAGCCATGTTTTTTCACTCTTTCTGTATTGTGTTCGAAATATAAATTTTTATATTCGTAGTGAAAATGTTTCAAATGTTATATATGCTTTCTGTACTTCAACATTAAACATTATCAATATTAATGTATAGTAATATTCTTTAGTATAGTAATATCTAGTGTGTTTTACAAAATCTCGGGAGATCTGTAAGGTACAAAAACTCAATTTATTTTGAAATACAATTTCATAGATATATTTGGAGAAACGATGATTTTACTAAACCTGTTACCGCACTAACATCATTTATAAAATGATATCGGTACAAGGAAATAACTATAATGCTGATTTCCTTGTTGGCATACACACTTCACTGTTAAGCTAAGATCAGATCAGTTTTCATACTGTGTTTGTATGTGGTTTTACGTCCGCAACAGCGGAAATAAATGTATGTAATTGTATAGATGTTGTTTACGGATCATTAGGGCCTTTCAAGGGCATTTAAGATCCATGTTGACGTGGCGCGATAACTTGACACTCTACATGGTGACAGTATACAGACTTAATAGACCGTGTTGTGTGGCGTTCTTGACATGTCGAGTTATGTACGTTCAAGTATAACTGTCGGTGATGTATATATTATTCTTTTTAAAGTAATTTTATGTGATGTTTCTCTGCGAAAAGTAAACAATTACCTCACAGGAAGACAGGTTTAAAAATTAATCTTAAAATGACTTTCCAAATTTTATTTTCAAATTAAATATAAGGACATAATCAAACTAAGCCTAAACGTTTTTTTTTTCATTTTTATTTGTGAGGTGAGCGAATGTGTGCAGCGCGTGTTTCGAGAGACTGTGATATTTTTGTCGGGAATCACATCATGACTTCAACTTGGTGAATGCCATGACGAGCAAAGTGTTTTTAGTTTGATTATATTCGTAACGGCCAACTAGCAAAGTAAATGCCTTTAAGGAGTATACCAAGGCGAATAAACTTCTGTAAAAGGAGCAATGCCGTTGTAAATGTTTGGTCTTAACGTCCTACCTACAGCTATTGCCATATAAGGACGGTCCTTCTGACGTATACAACTTATATAGTATGTGCCTAATGTGTGTTTGTATGAGAAACGGCGATATGATTCATTTGCCGACTAGAGATTTTTTTAGAATAACGTTAGTGGTGTATGTGTCCATCACGATTGAAGATTTGTCATTTAAGTGATCGTTAGCGAGAGTTGTGTCTCTTTATTCGGTAAAGTTGTTCAAAAGCTGGTTTAAGATTGTCAGTGGTTAATGGAAATTTTCCAACGTGTATTAAACGAAATCGGGAGTCATATACACTGGAATTAAACTGCACCGTAAATCTGTTTTGTTCTTCTAGGGTCCGTCAGTTTTAAAACGTAGGGGTGACTGACGAAAAGGAAATATTGATAGAGATGCAATAACGCTATCCTTCCTGTTGTATATGTATAATCCGGACCCATTACTACAGTGTTACTGACTTCATTCCTCCTCTATAGCTCTGTGCTTTTTCTTGTCTTGGTGTCTCCCTTGTCTCTCCCGAGACATAGATTTTGTACGTGTTGGTAATCAAATAATGTACATGTACCCCCCCCCCCCCCTTTGACCTCTTCCTCCCCTACCCTCCGGAATAACAGATGGTGGAGTAAATACAATACTGGACAATATCTAACATGTGTTGTGAGAATAAACCCAAAAGTCTGTTAGTTCATACCATTGTATAATGGTTTGTAATTATTTTTATAACTGTTGATATGATTTTTGTTGATACTTTGATCATAACAGATCTTTTCATACATTTGTATCTAGTTTGATATGTGCAAAATAGCGGAAGCGTTGTCAACAACGGAACGTGTCAATAATATTTACACAAAAAGACCGTTACTTCCTGCATCAGGTGAAGTCAATGGTAGGTACTATAGCTCGATGAATACGTTATTTTATGATTCTGTCGACAGACATGTGAATTTCAGGTTGTATAACAATGACGATTTGTTTATTATTAGAAGAAATATCAACAGAGAATCACTTGTCTGTGAACATCTCGCGGTGATTGTACAAAATGGCGTTTGTTTGGTTGTTTAAACATACAGATAAGATAATGTTTTGTTGTGCATTGAAAGAAATAGAGCATTTATAGAACTTGCTGAAGCAAATAACATATTTTGCTATTGCAATGTAGGTCACAAATAAATCTTATCTGGCTGTTACGTGCTACTCCTCTTTCCAGGTGCTAACTAAAGTGATATCGAAATTAATACCTCAGGAGCGGTGACCTTGACCTTACACACAGACTGATGTGTTGGTCATACAGAAGATAACAACATAGTAATCTAGTATAATGAAGTCAAGCTTCACGTTTGATACTGTATTATACAAAGATCTGATATTTGGTATTTTGGGGGAGGTGAAATATTGTCTCTGTTTTCTTTTCTATAACTATTGCAACTAATTTGTTTTGTTTCCATTATCAATCTTAATATATTGTATCTTGTGTCGCCTCAGTTTCTCAGACTCTTCAGTGATGCTAAGGGCCTAAATCTTAAACCTAGAACATAAGGAACAAATAGAAAAAAGAAAGAGGAACAGATGTAACACAGACAAAAAAGTAAGGGGAACAGATGAAACACAGACAAAAAAGTAAGGGGAACAGATGAAACACAGACAAAAAAGTAAGGGGAAAAGATGAAACACAAAAAAGTAAGGGAAACGGGTGAAAACATAGACAAAAAAGGGGGGAACAGGTTAAACACAGATAAAACAAAGTAAGGGGAACAGGTTAAACGCAAATAAAAAAGTAAGGGGAACAGATGAAACACAGACAAAAAAGTGAGGGGAACAGATGAAACACAAAAAAGTAAGGGGAACAGATGTAACACAAAAAAGTAAGGGAAACGGGTGAAAACATAGACAAAAAAGTAAGGGGAACAGATGTAACACAAAAAAGTAAGGGGAACAGATGAAACACAGACAAAAAAGTGAGGGGAACAGATGAAACACAAAAAAGTAAGGGAAACGGGTGAAAACATAGACAAAAAAGGGGGGAACAGGTTAAACACAGATAAAACAAAGTAAGGGGAACAGATGAAACACAGACAAAAAAGTAAGGGGAACAGATGAAACACAGACAAAAAAGTAAGGGGAACAGATGAAACAAAAAAAGTAAGGGGAACAGATGAAACACAGACAAAAAAGTAAGGGGAACAGATGAAACGCAAAAAGTAAGGGGAACAGATGAAACACAGACAAAAAAGTAAGGGAAACAGATGAAACACAAAAAGTAAGGGGAACAGATGAAACACAAAAAAGTAAGAGGAACAGATGAAACACAAAAAAGTAAGGGGAACAGATGTAACACAGACAAAAAAGTAAGGGGAACAGATGAAACACAGACAAAAAAGTATGGGGAACAGATGAAACACAAAAAAGGGGAACAGATGAAACACAAAAAAGTAAGGGGAACAGATGAAACACAAAAAAAGTAAGGGGAAAAGATGAAACACAAAAAAAGTAAGGGGAACAGATGAAACACAGACAAAAAAGTAAGGGGAACAGATGAAACACAAAAAAAAGTAAGGGGAACAGATGTAACACAAAAAAAGTAAGGGGAACAGATGAAACACAGACAAAAAAGTAAGGGGAACAGATGAAACACAGACAAAAAGGTAAGGGGAACAGATGAAACACAGACAAAAAAGTAAGGGGAACAGATGAAACACAGACAAAAAAGTAAGGGAAACAGATGAAACACAGACAAAAAAGTAAGGGGAACAGATGAAACACAGACAAAAAAGTAAGGGGAACAGATGAAACACAAAAAAGTAAGGGGAACAGATGAAACACAGACAAAAAAGTAAGGGGAACAGATGAAACACAGACAAAAAAGTAAGGGGAACAGATGAAACACAGACAAAAAAGTGAGGGGAACAGAAAAAACACAGACAAAAAAGTAAGGGGAACAGATGAAACACAGACAAAAAAGTAAGGGAAACAGATGAAACACAAAAAAGGGGAACAGATGAAACACAGACAAAAAACTAAGGGGAACAGATGTAACATAAAAAAGTAAGGGGAACAGATGAAACACAAAAAAAGTAAGGGGAACAGATGAAACACAGACAAAAAAGTAAGGGGAACAGATGAAACACAGA